CTGTGCATTCCTGTGTTATCCTTCTGTGTTACACATTTTGATGTTTTTTTCCTCGCTACCTAGCCTGACCTGTCTCCCCAATGTGATGTTTGTGTATTGTATGTACGGTCGGCAAGGTCTGTCATCTCGGTTGTGGGCAAAAGACCTGCAACTGATAAATAAAGGCCATCTCATCTCATCTCATCTCAACAGTGAACCACAGTGTGATATGAGAACGTAGCTTTGGACATAACAGCTACAGTGACACAATAGCAATGATAGACTGTGTGTGTGTGTGTGTACACGTCTGCCACAGATCCACTCAGATGTTTGTTGGTGGAGCTGCTGCTTCACGTGACTCTGCTGCACGTTCACGTATACAAAGGGCAGACGGTCTTGTGCTGTCACATTCAGACTGACCTGCAGAGTAACAGGGTGAGTATTCGTCCATGCCCACAGGGCGAAACGTAATCGATGGACGTAGCTTTGTCCTTTCACTGCACGTCTTTCCTGTGAAGATTAACAGCTTACATTCAGATATTACATTATTCAAATCTTCAAACCAATCTGGATACAGAAAAATAGCAACCCCTGTCATTAATATTTTGGCAGTATATGTTGTTGTTGTCAAAGTATTGTGGAGAAATGAGAGGAAGAACAGAAGTGAAAAAGTAAACACCAAAGAATTAACTAGAATTAATTTAGTAAAAACAACAAAAGTGTTTCAGATCAAATGTTAGACAAAAATAACACAAGTAAACACAAAATGCAGTTTCTGAATGAATGCATTTATTTTAAGGGGAATAAAAATCCAGACGCTGATGGCCCCCTGGTGGGCCCCCTCAGCCTCTCTGATGGCCCCCTGGTGGGCCCCTGATGGCCCCCTGATGGCCCCCTGGTGGGCCCCCTCAGAGTCTGTAATAACTGCCAGTGTGTCTTTACAGCTCTGTGGAGGAATCTGGGTCCACTCATATTTGCAGAATTGTTGTAATTCAGCCACATTGGAGGGTTTTTGAGCATCAACTGTGTTTTTAAGGTCCGGCACCAGCGTCTCAGTTGGATTCAGCTCAGGACTTTGACCAGTCTTCATTTGGTTTTTCTTAAGCCAATCAGAGGACGACTCACTGCTGTGGTTTGGATCATTGTTGCAGAACACAAGCGAGCTTCAGCTTGAGGTTGCACAAAGATGTTGGGACACTTTCCTTCAGGATGTTTTGGTCGACGGCAGAATTCGTGGCTCCATTTCCCACAGAACAGCATCAGGCCATCACACCATCACCACCGTGTTTTACTGTTGGCATGATCTTCCTTTGCTGAAATGTTATTTTTACGCCAGATGTAACAGGACACACCTTCCAAAAAGTTGAACTGTTGTCTGTCAGCCCACAGAGCATCTCGGGGGTCATCAGGATGACCTTTACGTTCCTGTTGCTCAGCAGTGGTTTTTATCTCGGGGCTCTGCCATGCAGGATACTTTTGTCCAGTTTCTTATGATGGAGCCATGAACACTGACTTTAACTGAGGCCTGCAGCTCTGTGGATGTTGTTCTGGGGTGTTTTGTGATCTATTGGACGAGTTGTCGCTGTGCTCTTAGGCTCAGCAGCCACTCCTGGGAAGGTTTTTTCCATTCGCGGTGAATGACTCGCTGGAGTCCCGAGATTTAGAAATGGATTTATAACTTTTTCCAGACGGCGAGATCTTGATTACTTTGTTTCTCATTTGTTCCTGATTTTCCTTCAATGACCGCATGATGTTTGGAGGATCCTTTGGTCTACTCCACTTTGTCAGGCAGGCTCTATTTAAATGATCTGCTGACTGAGAACAGGCGTGGGTGTGGTCAGGAGTGGGTGTGGTCAGGCGTGGGTGTGGTCAGAGAAACTGATCTCTGCTTTCCAAAGATGTGATACACCACAGTTGATTTATGTTACAAGAGGGAGCGACACAGATTTTTCTTTTCTTTAATAATAAACACCTTCAATTAGAAACAGCACTTTGTGTTTGTGTGTGTGTGTGTGTGTGTGTGTGTGTGTGTGTGTGTGTGTGTGTGTGTGTGTGTGTGTCACAAAGACAACAAAAGAACTGTTTTACACAACTTGGGTTTATTTATACAGTTGTTGTGTACTTTGGTCATCTCATAACCATTAAATCCCCCATGAAAGAAAACATGAAACGAATAATGAACTTACTGAACATCATGTGACCAACTCTGAAAGCTACGAGGAACATAAATGCTAACGACCAAAGAAAGAGTAAACTGTGCTGATCAGGAGGGGAACCACGAGGTTCTCAGAGAGAGGAGAATCAACACGTCACACGGTGCCAAACAGAAAACGCCGAGCTCGTTCAGCGCCGACTCTGGTGGAGGATCTCCCGTACCTGCACAGTCTCTGGTCATGTCCGACTCT